TCAGGGGAGCCCCTAGGCAGCCCCACGGGTTATCACCATACGTCCACCACCGGGTTCGGGAGTCTCTCCCGCACCCAGACTCAATAACCAGTGTTCATTCTAGAAAACCAGGTGATTGTGTCGTGCTAAAGAAACATCCAATGACGGGACTAGAGCCGAGACATCTTGGGCCATTCCAGGTGCCGCTGACGATGCCAACCTCTCTGAAGTTCGAGGGACGAGACAACTGGGTCCACGCCGGTCACTGCAAGAAGTTGCTCAACTGCATCAAAGAATGAAGAGTATCAATTTTGTTTATTTAGTTTAGTATATTTTAGCGAGGGAAGTGCACCTCAAACTAGCAAAGGGGACATTTGTTGATAGAACTTAAAGATACATTCCTAGAGGGTAATATCAGTTAGGTTTGTTGGATCCTCCACTTGTGAGGGAGGTACAACAGTCAACCTTACTAATGAAACCCCCGATCTCTTTAATGACACCCATAGATCAGATTATATGTGCTGGAAAGAAGGGTGTGACGTTATGACTGAGGGAGCGATCCCCCAGTCTATTTAGTTACCACTGGAGGCCCGTAACCGTCAGAGAAGTTCTTCTTGTTCGGTGTTGATGGGTCCGTACAATTCCCTATGCGGGTTAGCCGCTTATAAGGCAATTCCCCCTAAGTCGAGAGGTTCATGTGTCCTGGTGAAGCTTGTCCCTGCATCTTACGTTGCAGCTGATCAGGAGGAACTGATGGTGCAGAGGAGGGTAAGAAGGGCAGGGAGAGCTGGAAGGGAGTTTTCCTGCTCGGAGAAGGCCTGGGCATGGTTTCCTGCTTGGACAGGATGGGGAATAGAACTTATGAAGCTATTGAACAATTTCTCGTCCATAGTGGATGAGATGTTCGATTAAACGTTGAGGCAGTGAGGGAGATCACCGAGGAACAACGACAGGAGAGCGTCCAAGGGGGGTTTCTGTGAATTTATAGACTGGATAGCAGATACTAGTGACAAGGTTCAGGCCCATACTGACAGGAGCAGGGCGTAGGCAGAGCAATAGATAGTGAGGGTTGGAATCTTTTTAAAGCTTTGGGAGGTCTGGGGGATCTGGGGTTTTTCATTGGATACGGCCTAAAATGGGAGTACATGTACTTATGGTGTTTCTATTATGATGTTCCTGATGTCTAATCGGCCAAGTTACCGAAGCCCGCCCAGACGACATTTTCGCTGACGAGACGCCCTGAAGACCAACCCATGGACCAGATGCAGAGGATTCCAAACCGACCAGCGACCAACGCGACCCACCACCTCCCTCGGAGTCACCTCCCGAAGTGCAGGACCTCAGAGTCAAGATTTGCTTTCAAGATTCGTTTTCTTTGCCAAAAGTCTGCGTGTCAAGGTTTGCGTGAAAAACATTGACTTTGCGTTATTTTCCATAGTCTGTTTCGCTTTATGGATTCGGGACTTTTCGTATACAAGAGGGACTGTTTTTTTCAAAGAAGAAGATAGAGATTCATCGAGGGACACTGGGGATAATATGACAAAGAGGAGGGACTTATTATTATTAGGATGTGTTTTTAGTGTATTGTAATATTTTGTCATTATGTCTCAGTGTCCGGATTTCTGCGTCATGCTCGATTGGTGCGTGACCCGGATTATTCGGCACTGGGAATAAACCATTGGAGTAGATATCTTATGCGTGGCGGAGCAGTGTTTTCTTAGCGGGTGTGTGGACGACAAGCTAGGGCCCCTGCGCGGTGCGCGGATTTATTGGTTTGACGTGTATACAGCTTGCTTTGAGGACATAGTATTATTTAAGATACATATCTGCCTTTATGAAAGGAACGTGCGTTTGTATTTTTGATGCGTCTGATCAGCGTGCTGGAAATGGTATGGCATTGTCCCTGCAGATAAACATTCATGAGAAACATAGTAATGTTATTGGGCATTGCTCACTGAGCCGTGCTGGGTAAGGTTCACTCCAGTGGTAATTGGACATGTGCTTTGTTGACTGGCTATGTATTGAGGAAGTGATGTTGGTTGTTAACATCACTTCCTGGTTTGCTGGTTGTTGAAATCACTTCCTGGTTTGCTGTGTGAGACATCACTTACTGTCTGACATCACTTCCTGTTGGACAGCTATAAAAATAAACAAATACCTGTGCTGAGGGGTCTCTTAGAATGGAACTAGCAAGAAAGCAACACCTGTATCCTGTGTCCTAACTCTACATGACTCTAAAGGGGTACTTCCAGTCCTTGCATGAAAGAGCGTAATACAACTGTGCTTTTAAGCATGGGGGAAAGTCTTTGTGTTTGACATACTTTGACACAGTTTAGTGCAGCATGGATTTGTGCATTGAACCAAGCGAACAGTGGTAAAGCCTCTCAACCAATGCAAGCCTCTCCAGATTGGGAGGCATGTGGGACACAATGACAGTGCTTGGTAGGTAAAGGAGTCCAAATTGTTGATCAAGCTCTCGGAGTTGCTAGCAGTATACTTGTCCTTACTGCATTTAATTACATTTTGTAGGGCAATCCTGTGAGAGTGCAGTCTGACAATGCACTGGTGGTTGACCATTGGGGAGGCACAAGAAACCCAGTCATAGCCCAATAAGCGTATCACATTTTTCTGTGGCTGGGGCGTTAGTTTCTGACCCTCACATCAGGGGAACGGAGAAAGGACAGGCAGACTTTTGTAAAGTTATTAGCTCCTCGAATGCGGTGATGGATCTCTGCATCCGGAGGTATTCTGCCAGTGGTGGGCAACTCCATATTCCGAACATCTGTGAATGGGACAGTTTTTTTTGCAGGAGCAACTGATTTGTTGGCAGACACTGTTATCACTCCCTGGGCACACTGCATTGTGATATTCCTTTCCTGAAGCATCTCCTATGACCCCTGTCATCCTGGCAGCTCTGACTTAAACAAGATGGATCTGAGTGAACTGAGACGAGATAAACCAGATCTGGTGCACCTGATTGCAGATACCCCTGACAGCTTCCATACTGGCTGAACCCTTTATCCCAGGGCCTTAATGAGGACATTGTACATTCATTGTTGGAATTTAGACAAGACCACATATCTTAACAGGGGTTAACGAGGATTTTAGCACAATTGTGAGGGACACTCTCCAAGGAGAGTGCCCCTTTGCATCTTCTACAACAGTAGTATTTATACAGTTCAAGAAGTACATACACAATTGGTCAACAGCAGCTAAAGACCTCAGGAAAGCCTTAACAGTGTAAGTAATCAGAACACATTGTCAAATATGGGATGTTAGACTATAGATGGACAGCAGACAAGATACCTATGACATATGCTCCCAGATGGTCATAGTCATAAAGTCTTCACAGTTGCTGTTAAAGTTACTCCAAGAGGTATGTGTTCTCCAATAAACTCTAGTGTAAACAGGATTTTTACTCATAAAATCCTTTTAGCCTGTAATTCATTGGAGGACACGGCTCCCTCCTGTCTGCTAGGGTCATGTTTCTTGCCATGGTTCAGTATTTGCTTAGGAATGCTTCCCTTCTCCTATCATTCACTGCTTTCTACTGCTGATCTCTAGAGCATGTACAGGGATATAGCCACTTGAGGGAACTGGCCCCTTTCTATGGGACTGTCTCCTAAGGCTTTAGGTACCGTATATACTCGAGTATAAGCCGTCCCGAATATAAGCCGAGGTACCTAATTTTACCACAAAAAACTGGGAAAAAGTATTGACTCGAATATAAGCGAGGGTGGGAAATGAGGCAGCTACTGGTAGATAGATACCAATAAAATTACATGAATATTTATTTAAAAGAAAAATAACCTAGCTCTGTAAGTGGAAAAGGGGGTACAGGGCTACATAAGAGACTTTCTTATATCCAGTGTGTGAACACAGCCAGCAAACAGTATACATTGTGGTAGGCCAGGTTAAGCAGCTGGGACAGGGAAGGCTGGAATATTTTACATCAGGGGGAGGTGGTTGTAGTCAGGCAGGGTAGATAGGCATACTTTTCTGAAAGTATATTCACCCTTTAAATTACTCAATGTGGAGGACTGTTTGTCTTCAGCTTAGAACTGGCATACATAAACTCACTTGGTGCACATTCCTGACATATGCCAAACAGTCTCCAACAACTAGTATTCTAAGTGGGTTATTATTATTATAATACAGGATTTAAATAGTGCCAACAGTTTGTGCAGCACTTTACAATATAAAGAAGACCTTACAATCACAATACAATTCAAGACAAGATGGTAAGGAGGGCCTACAATCTGAACAGTACACGTGTTTTGGGCAGCAAATATGTTTTTATATATATAT